AATAGCAAAAATGTGATGGGGGGCCTCCCTAATGACCTCTATCTGAGCTGTGAATAACAATGCCAATATGCCAAAGACTCCTCTTATGCATCTGAAGTCTTCTCTACCCTATAGACTTTACAGGGGATTAGAGTTCTTGTCAACTGCAACCACTCCAGTCCTCAAAGGAGAATTATGGGGGTGAGTGTATTTCACTGGAGCTGTCACTCGTCAGTTCTGTTGATCGAGAACTAAGAGATCACATACCGCCGATCGCTCAGTTCCGGATCTTCTCTCCGCAGGGATTCCCCCCAACCCTCTCTGTTCCTCCAGCGCCGACTGGAGGGACTGAGGGGATGGGGCGGGCACAGCTGGCTCTGGCTCTAGAGCTGTCAATCAGGCAGCAGGGTGGATCACGACAATATTGTTGGGATCTTTGCTGGCCGCAGTTCTGTGAGGGCAATAGCCCGAAAAATACTGAGTTTTGGATCACAAGAGGACATTATTAAATGTACTCTGTGACCCTAAAGAGAACTATGGCCAAAAAAGTTTGGACCATTGTTCTCTTTTAAGGATATAGTACTGTATTATTTTCACATGTTCTATGTTTAATTTGCCTCAGCAACCTAATGGGGGCCACCTTCCACCACCAGGCCCCATAGCAGCCACCACTGCTTCAGGGTAACATCCAAGCTGCCAGCTAAGTAAAGGGTCAGCTGGAAATTTCATTGCAATGTCCTTTGGGTTAATGGTTGAAATTGTTTTGTTTGCTGTATAATGGGGGGGGGGCGGGGAAAAAATTCTGCCCCGGGCGCCCAGAACTCTGGTTACGCCACTGTATTTGATAAACATTTTCTTTACTTGCAGTAGTATTGTATATATTTATGTTGCTTGAAACCTTATTGTTACGTGCGTAAGGTTAACTATGTATCTGTTTTATTGGCTTTTTATGTGTTTAAAATATCAGTTACAGGTGGCAGAAGAAATAGCAACTGAAAATACAGTTAGGTCTTGTTGTCATTTGTCAGAGAAAGTTTGCATTCACTTCAGTCCATCACCTGTTCTGGCTGTTAATATGTAAATCAGCTTATCCTCTCCTGCTGTCGTTGACAGTTATGCAGATATGTCATCTCAAAAGAACAATAGTTTGTAAGTGATAACAAAGGATAAGGAATGTTTGAATCTGAGGGGCATGGATTAATATAAATGTGCAAGATAAAATAGGGATAGAAGAACACACAGTATACAGAACAAGTGAAATATTACTGTCCAGTTTCTACAAGAACAACAGATATTGAAAATCACACCTAGATTAACAGAGCAAGTGCAATACGTTCACATATTAGAAGCAAGAAGAGAAAGTTAGAATTACCTATAACAGAACATTGGCAGCATAAGACATATATACCACACTCCTTTTGTGATTTCTTCAAAATGTAATACAAATTTTGTTTAAAGAAGGACACCAGGTTACGTTTTTATGGTATTGTTTGGCATGTTTACCCGAAAAAAAATGCAGCTTTTGCTACAGTACTTACATCTTTTCTAGCACTGTCTCCCGCAGACTCACCACTACTGGTCCCGGCCACCGCTCCTCTTTTGGGTCAGTAATGGCCAGCCTGATAAACCATTTCCTGTGAGCCCAGGCTGTCAATAACACATGACCTGAGGGCTCTTTATCATGCCAGCTGGGCTCACAGTATTGATACACAGATCTGCACTCACATGTCACTACGTGAGCACCATTTTGTTCATCAGTAAGGACCATCTACTTCTGCCACTAGAGAAGAAGAAAAAAGACCTATGACGTCACTGAATTGGCTGGAAGAAACCTACATTTTATGTATGATTTTTCAGGGCTGAATGAGAAAAATCATTTGATTTTCCCCATCAATGCATTAATAAAGGAATCTTCAGCTGCGGCTATTGAATTCTGAAAGTCAGCACCTGCAACTGGCAGGATATCTGAACAGTGGCTGCAGCTGCTTTGCTGAAGTTACTGTTCAGCCGATAATTTTGCACCTGGCTTCTTTGACAGAAGTTGATTGACTTTGACGTTGTTTGACTTTGTCAAGCCAGGAAGTGCCAGTATGGCCACCCACCAATTGGATTCAGCAAGAAATGTCTGAAATTCAATATGTGTATAACAAGCTTAAGGCAGGAAAGGGGGAGAGAGGCAATAGGTGTGTGGAGGTAGGGGGATGGTTGTGGGCAAAACTGAAGTTCTGTTTTAACTCTTATTTTTTTCCCCCAACAAAGCCAATGTTCAACACCAAAATTAAAAAATATATGACAACGTTGTCTGGACAAAATAATCCAAGTTGACACACTGAGCACCTAATGTGTTGCCATAGTTCATGTTTATAGCTGAACTTCTTGCAAACCGCCAAAATCTAAATGAAATACATACACCCGAGCTGTTTTATCTGCTAGAAGATTTATACTTCTGTCCATCCAGTTCCAACTCTGGCTGGTGACCTGACTTTTCTCTGCTGCAATAAAGCAAGGCCAACTCCTTGCCCTGAGATTCTAATTGGGCAAGTAGCATTCTTTTTCATCCCACTTTCTCTGTCAGCATGTTCCTTGTCAGTATATCTGCTTGTAGCACGCCTACTTGAATCATTGTGTTGTCTTCCTTCTGCCAGTCTGAGTTCTGCTGTACAGAGGGATTGCAAGAGGCTGCCATGGAGTCAATTTCTACTACTAGCACTAGTTGCACTAAAAAAAAACAAAAAACTAATTGAGGGGCATTTATCTAAACGGTAGAAGTTGTGCGTGGCAACCAATCAGCTTCGATCTTTCATTTTCAAAGCTTAACTGAGCAAATTGAGAGAAGCTGTTTGGTTACTATTATTATTACATAGTATAGTATTTATATAGCGCCAACAGTTTGCGCAGCGCTTTACAATATAAGGAAGACATTACAGTTACAATACAATTCAAGACAAGATGGTAAGGGGGGCCCTGCCCCTGAGGGCTAACAATCTGAAAGAGGAGGGGGAAGTGATACATGAGGAGGTGCACTATGCACTTCTGCTCCAGATTCTGTCTGCTCCAGTTTTAGTAAATCCCCCACATTATGTTTTTATTTAATACATGAGCACATTAATTGGTACACTTTTAAATCTAACTGGGGTTCAGCTTTAATTTCTGGTACTGTCCAATCATCTCAGCCCCCTCTGCATCTAATGATCAGGATATTCTCAGGTTTGTAATGTGACTTTCCCTTCTCTCATCTACTGTCATGTTCTCCTGGGCCACCTACCTATGCTCTGATACAAGCAATTAGGTAGCGACTCCCCAGCAATTCATTTCACAGAAGAGGATATATACACAGTACCTCGTTAACACACAGCCATGTATCCTGCTACTCCGCACACTCACTATGCTATGGTGGGTCACTGAAATATACTCAAAGGTCACTGGTGGTGGCAATGGACAGGACAGTTTCAAGCAATTATCCCATCTAGAAGAAGATGCAAAAAATAGAACAGATGGTAGCTATAAAACAAAATTGTGAAGTCATGAGAAAATTCCAGAAGATCAACCCTACTGAAAGGGTGAGGGATTTTCTGGGTGATCTGATGTGTCTGGCTGTAACATGCTTATAAGAAGGAATGTCTATGAATAGCTCCGAATTTATTTTTAAATCTTTTTCTATCTATCTATCTATCTATCTATCTATCTATCTATCTATCTATCTATCTATCTATCTATCCATCCATCTCTACATATACTGTA